CTCTGGTTTCATGCTGCCAAGTCCAGGACTTGAACCAGTCGACCATGTGGGAGTCCAGGACCTTAGCCATTACACTACCTCCTGGCCCCCTTATTGTATTTTTTAAAGTTTCTTTCTTTCTCCCATAAGAAAGAGAATGCACCCACAAAAGAGTATTCTGAGACCTGCCCTGGCCTTCAGCCAGCCCCAGATCATGGGCATATACATGCTTGTTACACTCAGCGAAGTCCCCGTGTGGGAATCTGGAGCTTAGCATCCAAGAATTCATCCCCGCCACCTCCTTCTATGCAGCTGAGCAGGTGTCTGACAGTCACAGCTGGCCAGAGGGAAAATCCAGGATTCACAGAGAGAGGCTTTCTAGGGAATTGGGTGGGGGGTGGAGAAGCTCCCCAAGTGTTCAGAGCGTGTGCTCAGACCTTGTGCTTCCTCCTCACTGCAGCGTTCATTCTCATTTCACTCGGGATAAGGGGAGAGAGTGCAGGATGACGGAGAACAGCTGCCGGGGTTCAGGCGCTGTGTGAACTGTTTCATGTACGTCACTTCCACAATGCCTGCCCCCACCCAGGTTGTTTCTCTCGTTTCCTGCAGGAGAAAACAGCTCCGAGAGAGGGAGAGATTTTCCCAAAGCTCTGGGAAAGGACAGGGCCTGGAAAGCCTTCCTTTTCTGTTAGATGAGGTCCCCTTGCAAGGAGAACATGCAGTTACTACAACTCCAGGTTCCCTGGGCAAAGGCTGTCTCTCTCACCTCTGAAGGGACCTACAAACAGTGACGCTCTGACACCCTGCCATCCTCTGTTGCACGGGAGACAGCTTCTATCTGGTGTGCAACCAGCCTGGGGAAAAACAGCCCAGGAGCATGACCCCTCCACAGGCAGAAGTCAAGTCTTGGACTCTATAACCACAGCTCTATTTGAAGCTCATCATTTCCAGTTACCAGAGCAACGCCAATGCTCACCCAGCCAGCCACCCCCACCCCCTTTCTCTCAAGCCCCCTCAAAGTCCTTTCATCTCTGAGGTTCTGTGATTCAATTAATTGTCGCCGATGCCTGCACTGTTTTTTGGTCCTTTTCATGATTCCATCTGCTGAGTCACCGTGTCCTGCTCGAAATTAGAGTGGTTATTCACCAGAACATTTGGCTGCCGGTTGCCATGGACACCTCGCAGCCTGGATCCTTCATCACCTGTTCATTCTCAGCAAGGCTGGCTGTGAGCGTGGGTACCACTGCCCGTACCTGAGACCCAAGGGGCATCAGAACGCCCTCAGACGAGGGGGCCCTGCTGACTCATGAACAAAAGCAAAATCTCTAGGCCGAACTGTGGAAAAATCATATAAACAGTCTAGAGCTCATTACATCCGCCTAAACCATGTCAAGGCAGACATTCATCAGACAGGCCAACAAGTGTACCAGTTCGTTTTCTGGTGCATCTTTGACAAATGCTTTAGTCTGCTGGTATTTTCATAGTGAACAGTCATGACTGCTTCGCGCAGATTACTGTCTCTCTCTGAAAGCAAAATAAAGGTGTCTTGAAATGCAGGACCCTCAGGCCAGCCCATCGTATGGTGGTTAAGGCGGCTGGATCCCACGTGGCCAACTGAGTGGTTCAAGTTCTGGACCTGGCGGCTTGAGAAATATACCAGGTATGTGTGCATATGTGCCCAAAACCCTAAAAGAAGGGAGAAATGGAGAAGGGATTGCAGCATGACACCCCCCGAGGGGGGGTGTTCTCACTTTCTCTCTCTCTCTCTCTCTCTCTCTCTCGCTCTCTCTCTGGTGAGCACGCGTGCCCTCTGGCAACAACAAAATCAAGAAAAGGGGACCAAAAGATGGTGTAATGGGGACCAGCAGTTGGCGTAATGGCTATGTTGCTGGACTCCCATGTAACCAACTGCGATTTGAGTCCCAGGCCTGGTGGCTTAAACTCATGCCGTTCATGTGTGCATGAGTGCCCAAGATCCCGAGAGGAGAATGGAGGAGAAGGGATTGCGGCGTGGCCATACCCCCGGGGGGAGAGTTCTTGCTTTCTGACTGTCTCTCTGTCTTTCTGGTGAGCACATGGGCCCTATAGCAAAAATCTCTCAAAAAAAAAAAAAGATGGTGTAATGGTTACACCACTGAACTCATGCAGCCGACTACGGTTTGAGTCCCGGACTCAGCAGCTTGAAACTCCCACCAGAAACATATGCCTATGTGCCTATGTGCCCAAGATTCCCAAGAGAAGAATGGAGAAGAGATTGTGACCTGGCCATGCCCCCCGGGGGATGATTCCTCATTTTCTGTCTCTGTTTCTCTTTGTCTCTCTGGAGTATGCATACGCCCTATGGCTAAAAACTTTTTAAAAAAATGCAGGACCCTCAAGGAATTGGGGCCAGGGCCAGGGTGGGGGATGGAAGAGGGAGGATGGCAGCAGACTCAGGGAGATGGAGGGGAATTGCAAGCCAACCTGGCCCAGCACAGCGTGTAAGGTGCAGGGAGAAGCTGGGGACTTCCACAGTCGGAGAGGGTGATGGGGTTCAGGGGCCACCAGGACGTGAGCCTTGTGGCAGGAAGAGCAGGACCATCAGCCCACGGCCCATTGCTCCTGATAACTAATTCAGGGCATATTTGCAGAGCCCCGTTCAGGGGACAAGGGATCAATATCCCGCCCCACATTCACACCCTCCCTGTTCATCAAACACCAGAGGATGAGGAAATGCGGTTTTCCTGGATCTAAGGTCATGTGGGCCATTCCTCTTACTCCTCACCCGTGAGACACAGCTGAGGGACGTGTACCAAGCCTCTGAGCCCAGGGATGTGGTGGGGGGCACCGTCCCTAGCTCAGGTACCTTGTCCCCCACCTGCCCCTCATGCCCAGCTGAAAAGCTGTCCTGCTCAGGCCTTTCAGATGAAGATCAGCTCCCCTTCCAGTCCCCCACATCCAGATGACTGACTGACTAGATGATGGGGGGAGGGGGCCAGAACCTGGGCCCCACCCCCTTTCCTCTCACTGTGGGGATGCTTGGCCTGCTGGAGGAGGAGGGCTTGGGAGGGACCTTGAGGGCTTTATAAGGCAGGCCTAGAGCACCAAGCAGGACAGAGAGCCGAGGCACCAAGCCCAGCTACAGCACCGCACACCTCCCAGCTCTGCAGGTGAGAAAACTCAGGGGGCGCGGGGAGAGGCGGGACGGGCTGATAGGCTCCCTGCTCCCATCAAGGTACCAGGATGTGGGGCTGTAGGGCTGGGGCCCTTCCCTTAGCCCAGGGTAGAAGCAGGTCTCAGCTCCACCTGGCTTCCCCATCCTGCTACCCTTCACCAGGGCCTTGTCCTCACGCTCTTACTCCATCTTCATCCTGGCCCTGGGTAGGGGGAGGACAAGGGCTTTTCTCCCATCTCTCAGATGAGAACACTGAGGCCCAGAGGAGAGACAGGACTTGTCAAGGTCATACCAGTTACTTGGTAGGCTGGGACTGGAACTCTTAGCTTCCGATCCCATCTCTTTCCTAGACCAGTTCTGTCCAGAAGAACTTCCACAGTGATGGACATGCCCCATATCTGCACTGTCCAATGGGGTAGCCAATAGCCCCATGTGCACCTGAAATGTGGCTAGCCCGAGGGAGTGCTTTTTTTCCCCTAATTTGTCTCTTCCATTTTTTTAATTCTTTTTTTTCTTTAAATTATGTTTATTTTATTAAACTTTATTTATTTTTATTGGAACAGAGAGGGAGAGAGACAGGGAAAGTGAGAAAGCAAGCCACCAGGTCCAGGACTCAAACCGTGGTCAGCCATGTGGGAATCCAGTGCCCTTAACCACCACGCCACCTGCTGGCCCCTGTCTCTTCCTTTTTTTTAAAAAAAAGTAATTTACTATTATAATTTTTTTTAATTTGACCAGAGATAGACACACACACACAGAGAGAGAGAGAGAGATGAAGTCACCAGGTCCAGGCCTCAAACTGTGGTCGGCCACGTGGGAGTCCAGCCTTACCCACCATGCCACCTGCCAGCCCCAAGGGGGAGTACTTTTTTTATTTTATTAGTTCAAACCGAAAGAGCCACGTGTGGCTAGTGACTACTGGGTTGGATAACACGTGTGGCTAGTATTGGACAGTGGAGCTCCAGAGTTGCTTTTCCAGTTCTTTGTTCATTTCTGCTATGTGAGAGAGACAGAGCGACATGCGCGTATGTATTCAGGGAGGTCTCTGGACACATACCCTGAACTCACCTCACAGAGTATCTGATGTGTTTTCCAGCTATGCCAAAATGCGGCCCCAGCTCTAGATTACTGAGTAACTTTGTGTCTTTTTTATTTTTATTTTTTAAAAGAGAGATTTTTGCTATAGGGCACATGTGCTCGCAGGAAAGACAGAGAGAGAAAACAAGAAATCACCTCCCCAGGGAATGTCCATACTGCAATCCCTTCTCCATTCTCCTCTCAGGATTCTGGGCACACATGCACACACTGCCAGCCTGAGTTTTAAGCTGCTGGGTCCAGGACTCCAACTGGGGTCAACTGCTTGGGCTGGGAGGTGGCATGGTGGTTAAGGGCATTGCACTCCCACATGGTCAACCATGGTTCGAGTCCCAGACTTGGAGGCTTGCTTTCTCACTTTCCTTTTTTCTCTGTCTCTTTCTGGTCAAATTAAAAAATAATAAGTGGAATTAAATAAATAAACCTTTACCAAAAAAATTTAAAGAATGATGCCAGTGGCGCATCAGTAGAAATGCTGTGAGATTGAAGGTTCCCAGTTCAAGTCTGGAGACTTCCCTGAGTACACAGACAAGTGTCCATGGTCCAAGTCAAAGGCTGGAGTGGAGGTGGGATGGACTAGGGAGTTAGGACCCTCTTGGGGATGCTGTCTCTCTTTCTCTCTCAGAAGATATGAATAAATCGGTCTTTAAAAAAAAAAAAAAACATTTTGGGACCAGCAGATAGCGTAATGGCTATGTTGCTGGACTCCCATGTAGTCTTAAAACGTCTGGGCCCGGCTTTGAGCTCGGCCCCTCTCCCTTTTGCCGCCAGGATGCAGCGACTGTGCGCCTACGCGCTGATCCTTGCTCTGGCTCTGGCCGGTGCAGAAGCGTCTTGGAAGCCCCGCGCCCCACCGCAGGACGAGCCGTCGGGTCTGGCGGCCCACAGGGAGCCGCACTGGCTGAACCAGCTGGGCCCAGCTGCTCACCACCGAAGGCAGCTGGGACTCCAGGGTCCCCCACAGCCCGTGGCAGGTAGGAGCTGCTGACCATCCTCTCTGACTTCCTCGCCCCGCCAGCTTCGGCCAGCTTCTCCCCAGACCAGCCTTGACTTCAGCTCCTGGAGGCTAGGCGTCCTTCTCCCTTCTCACTTCCTCTTATCTCCCCAGACCTCTCCAAGAAGCAGGGGCCGTGGCTGGAGGAAGAAGAGGCATACGGATGGATGGACTTCGGCCGCCGCAGTGCCGAGGAAGGGGATCAACGCCCTTAGACCAGCTTCAGGGCCCAGCCGCTGCCCACCTCACCGCAGCCTGCCCCTTGACTAGCAAATCAAAATAAACTGTAGTTTCCCATGGATCGGTGGATTGTGTCAAGTGCGGTGGGGCAGGGGCGGGGAGGGCTGAGGTTATGGAGTTGCGCGCCCCCTAGCGGTAGGAACCATCGTCAATTCTCAGTATCCCCAGAGCTGCTCAAGACTGAATGGAATCCACAATCATTGATAAGCGTCTAAGCGGCCCGCGGTCTAAAGGCAGAGTAAACTATGTGTGCGATTGTTTTAATGCCAGAGAATGTGTGCTCACGGATGAGAGAGTGAGAGACACAGAGACAAAAACACAGAAAGCACATCCCCCAATGGGGCCTGGTCATGTTACAGTCTTTTTTCCTTCAGTTCTCCATCCTTTCCTTCAATCTCCAACACACACCATGGTGTGGTTTTCAAGCTGCCAGGGGCTAGGGCTGAACCTCAAATCCCGGTGGATCATGTGGGATCTGGCACCATCTGCATTTTGGACCCTCAACATTTCTCCTTTTTTAATGACACTAGTCAAATTGTATTAGAACCCACTCTAATAACCTCGTCTTACCCAATTATACCTGCAACTACCCTATCCCCAAAAAAGGTCGCATTTTGAGGGACCAGAGGTTAGAACTTCAACATACGAATTTGGGGAAGTGGGAGCAATTCGATCCATGACATCCAGGCCAGGGTAGGTGTAGGAGATGCTGCTTGGACCTGGGCTACCTGGTGTCCATAGGGATCGCAGGAACAGAGGAGACCATCAGACCCAACCATCAGTGGCAAAGTGGACATAATTACCACAGTGAGGGGCAAGACCAGCTTCTCCTGAGCAGTGCATTGCCACTGTGCAGAGAAAATGGCCACTAGGAGACCTTAATCCGTGGGGTTGGCAGCAGTGGCGAATAGACCACAATGTCCCGAAAGCCAAGAGACATGAGTGGCCAGTGAGGATATCGTTTGACCTATACAATCAAAACAGATCAAGAGCAAATGAACCAAAGGCTAATGTCAGATGCCGAAATAGAAAATCATGATCCCTTGTTTGGTTTCTAAACCTAAATCGGTTCTCAGAACCAGACGTTTGTCAGCATGTCCTGACGCTAGAGAGACACACCCACATATTTCAAAAGCTTCTGTCCATATACAGGGCCTGAGTTGACATTGATACCAGAGAGTCCAAAATGCCACCAGGCCTCTGCCCACATTAAGGAGGAGCAGATAGGGGCCAGCAGGTGGCATGGTGGTTAAGGTGCTGGGATCCCACATGGCTGACCAGACCATAGTTCAAGTCCTGACCCTGGCAGCTTGCTTTCTCACTTTCCCTCTCTTTCTCTATTTCTCTCTGGTCAAATTAAAAATAGTAATAATAATAAAATTAATTAAATTAAATAAATAATTCTATAAAAGGGGAGGTAGCATACAGGAGCCAGCAAGTGGTGTCAAAGTTAAGGCGGCTGAATCTCATATGGCTGACGGCTTGGTTCCAATCCCAGACATGGTGACTTGAAAAGCATGTTGGGCTTGGGCCAGCAGGTGGTGTAGTGGTTAAAGACACTTGACTCCCACATGGCTGACTGTGGGTCGGGGCTTGGACTGGAGAGCTTGCTTTCTCTCTCTCTCTCTCTCTCTCTCATCTTTCTCTGGTTAAAACTAATGATAATAATAAATAAAGTTAAATAAAAATAATCCAAAAATAATCCTATGTTGGGTGTGTGTACCTACATGCCTAAAATCCCAAGAGGAGAATGGAGAAGGGATTGTGGCGTGGCTCTCCTCCTAGGGGGTGAGTTCTCACTTTCCCTCTCTCTCTGGCAAGTGCACACACCTTAGAGCAAACACTTGAAAGAAAAGAAAAAAGGAAGTATAGAGAGGCCCGGGGATAAGCAGAGTCTTGGTTCGAGTCTATCTCACGGTAGGTCCAGTAGGTTCCTGGACACACTCTCTGGTCGCTTTCTGGGTCCATGAATGCATAATTTGGAGGCCACACGTAGCAGTGGGCAAAGCCCTCACATTAACTCCCTGTCCTATGGAATAAGAAACAGCATGCTGGGAAAGGTCAAGTGGAAATCCCTGAAGCTGCCCTCCTACTTGCAATACCTAACGAAGGCACAAGGGCAGAGATGAGTGCCATCCTTAGAGACTTAAAGGATGGAGATGAGGCTGACCCCCAGGGGAGGTCCCTCGTTCATGTCCAGAGACCTCCCTGAATCTGCCGGGCACATGCATGCCCACCATCTGCAGTCGGCTAATGCTGGGGGTAGATCACAACATCGAAACTCTGCTGGGGGCTGGCTCCGTGGCACAGTGGTAGCACACTGCTCAAGAGAAGCTGGATCCCACATGGTGTTCACAGTTCAAATCCTCTGCCCAGTCTGCCTGAAATATGGTGGGCACACACATACGTGGACAAGATCCAAAGGAGGAGGAGGGAGGAAGGGGATCACGGCATGACCAGAGCCTATGGAGGCTGCTCCCCCACACTCTCACTCTCACGTGTATGCACTTTATCATAAACAAGAAAAAGAAAGACCATATTGAGGGTGTTGTTTCTCTTTACATTTCTCTCACTCTTGGAAGACATAAATAAATAAACGAACTATTTTTACTTTTTTTTAGAGAGATTTTTGTTGTAGGGTGTGTGCACTCACCAGAGAGACAGAGAGAGAGAGAGAAAGCAAGAAATCACCCCCCAGGGAGGTTGGCCTCAATTCCTTCTCCTCCATTCTCCTCTCGGGATTTTGGGCACTGACGCCCATACGCCTGGCATGAGTTTCAAGCCTCTAGGTCCAGGACTCAAACTGCGGTCAACCACGTGGGAGTCCAGCAACATAACCATTACACCAACTGCTGGTCCCTTTTTTTAAGTTTTTGCTCCAGGGTGTGTGTTTGCTGGAGAGAGATGGGGAGGTGCGGGTGAGGAGTGAAAAATCACCCTCCTAAGGGAATGGCCTCGCCACAATCCCTTCTCTTCCATTCTCTTCTTGGGACTTTGGACAGGCATGCACACACACCCAGTGTGTGCTGCCTTCACCACCATGCCACTGGCTGGCCCATTAAACGTTTTGAATAAATAAAGTTAGTGACAGCTGTTTCCTGGTCATTTCTACCTCTTCATGCCAGTAGACCAGCAGGCAAAGAAAGGCCATTACTACCCCAGGTATTGATGCTGCTAGTCATGAGAAGAGCATTGCCTCATATTGGACAAGAAGGCCTATGTCTGGAACCAAGGGAGGGGTTCACTGAGGAACACAGGCCTTCGAAGCTACCCTGGCCTGACATGGGCATGGTAACCAAGAGTTGAGACCTCTCAAGAACAAAGGTCAAGGTCGCTGCAAGAGGAAAGCAACCCGGACCAGCAGAAGCGCTGGCCGAGGACGAGGAGGATCTAGAATGGGCAGCTGAGGAAAGAGATAGTAAGTACAATGCAGGGCACGGGACCGATTGAAGCTCTGGGAACCGCAGCTTATTCCAGTCACTGCCCAGCTGTCTGTTTTTCCTTTTCCTTCTTTTCTTTTCCTTTTTTTTTTTTTTTTTAAGTTTTGGGTACAGGGTGCGTGCACTCACCAGAAAGAGACAAAGAGAGAGAGGGAAAGTGAAAATTCAACAACCCAGTGGGGATGGACACCACAATCTTCTCTCCTCCATTCTCCTTACAGGATTTTGGGCATGCACGCACACACACCTAGGGTGTTTCTCAAGCCATTGGATCCAGGACTCTAACCACAAAGTTGGCCCTGTGGGATTCAGCTGCCTTAACCTCCATGCCATCAGCTGGCCCTTCTTTCTTTCTTCCTTCCTTTCTTTCTTTCTTTCTTTCTTTTATGTTACTGTGACCAACTTACCTTTTTTTTTCTTTTTAATTAAGAAAAAAATTTGGGGGGTCTGCAGGTGGAAGGTGGTTAAGACACTAAACTCCCACATGGCCAATACCAGTTCAAGTCCTGGACATGGCAGTTTGCTTTTTCACTTTCCCTCTCTCTCTGGTCAAATTTAAAATGAACAAATACAATTAAATAATTAATTTTTAAAATATTTTTAGAATTATTTTACTAAACTTTATTCATCATTTTTATTTATTTATTTATTTATTTATTTTTTTATCAGGGAGAGGTAGAGACAGAGAGAGCGGGAAAGTGAAAAAGCAAGTCACCAGATCTGGGACTTGAACCACTGTTGCCCATGTAGGAGTTCAGTGCCTCAACCACCATGCCACCTGGTGGTCCCAATAATTTTTTTTTTCAGTTTTTCTTTTATTTATGATACATCGTGTGGATGCACATGAAAGAGGGAAAGGAGAGCGAGAAGCGCCCAGTACCAGATCTGGTCATGCCTAATCCCCTTCTCCCAGTCCTCCAACTCATCAGATCTTGGGCATTTTCATGTATGCCCAGCATGCTTCAGGCTGACCAGGCCCAGAATTCAAACCATGGTCAGTATGGGACCCAGCTTCCCTTGAATAGCATTTTATCACTGCACCAAAGCTGCCCCTGCCCACGGCCTTAATGCAGCAGTAAAAATGGAAGTAAACTCCGCATGGAGCTCGAGTTCACCCGAGTGGTGCAAGGGGAGGACTGTAATGGATGCCCACCTTCCTGGCATTCACCTTTGCATGACTCAGTCACTATGTCCTGCTGCAAGCACAATTACTCTGTCCGAGGGCATTTCTCTGCCCAGGCGTGGCCACCATTACCACTGAGATAATGCCCAGGGGCAGCTCTTGACCACTGATGAATGGGAGCTGGAGGGTGCATGCCCAGCTTCCCCACCCCATAGGTGAGATAACTGAGATGGGGTCTATACCCATGTGTCTCAAACTCTAACATGCATGTGAATTACCTGGGGACTGGGTTAACATGCAGATTCTGATCCTGCAGGCCTGAAGTGGAACCTGGAGCCTGCCTTTCTCATAAACTCCCAGGAGATGGCACCTATGCTGGTCCACAGCCCATATTTGGCATTGCAAAGGGCCACACTTTCTCCCAGAGTTTCCTGGGGAATTGAGCCTCAGTTGCCTAAAACTTCCTGTGATTAGCTTCCTTCTAGTCTCACCTCCCCATCCCTCTCCAAGAGTGCTTCCTGGGATCATCTTCCAAATAAACTAGTTGTTCTCAAACCCTGTTCCATGTCTGCTTTTGGAGACCTCAACCTAAGACACTGGCAACTCTCGCTTCTGCTTCAAACTTCACAGCCAGGGCGTTGGGTCAGAGTCCCTGGAACAGTCAGGATCTAAGAAGGAAGTCTTCCCAAGCAGGCTCCAAGGAATCAGGTTCAGCTCCCAACTCCACCACCAGCCATTAGACCCTTGGGAGGGTTATTTGACCAGCCTGGGCCTCGATTTCACTGACAAATGCTGATATCACCCACAGGGGTTGTGAGGACTAAATAATGTATTTACATAAACGTCCTTGGCACATCATTCAACAACATCAGAGACCATCCTCTCTCCACAATTTTGCCCCTGTAGAGTATGTGCATATAGACACGTGCACACACACGCACACATACACGTGTGCATGCACATGCACACTCCCGCGCCCCCTGAGAAAGACCACGAAGCTGGGCCAGGTAGCACAGATCCTTTATTTCCTGCACTGGCAAGTACACAAGCTGACAAGCAAAGGAGACGGAGAAGCACTGTGGGCGTGGAGCAGGCCCTGGTGGTGGTCCTGAGCCACACACCCAAGCTGTTCGTGAACAAAGGAGTAGGAAAGGGTGGAACATCTAGAAGGAGAAAACAAGGGGCACTGAGGGTGACAGGAGGGAGGAAGGACTGGACCCCGGGAGGGCCTTAGGTGGGGAGCGTGGATGCCAACAGGTCACAGGCTCCCTCTCAAAGGACACTACTGAAAGGGACCACTCACCCACCCACACACACACACAGAGACACTTCTGGTTACGAACAGTAAGAGAGACTGAGAAGGAAGGATGAACAGGGAACGAGGACCAGGTCCCCTAAAAGTAGAGGACTTGAGAGCCACCTTTAATTTGGGGGTCAAGGACAAAGAGCGTGTTCTAGGGAGGGTCTTCACAACAACTTCCTACACTTGGCACCTGACACTCCCCACCCCTGCTCAGTCCCATGCTCTCTCAGAGCTGGGTCTGGAAGCTGGAGGGTCTCCCTCTGGGCATCTTCTGTCCCCAGGCCACCATGTGATCCAGGCCCAGCAGCCAGAGTTTTTGAACCACATGCATATTTGCAGAACAAGGGCTGGGTTCCTTCAGCCTGTCCCAGAAGAAGGTTGAGGCTTGGGCCCTCAAATTCTGGCCCAGGTTCATTGAGACAGAGGATGGGCTGAAAACAAACATGGGGTCCCCTTTCGGAGGATGGGAAGGAAGGTCTGGCGTGGGGAGCCAGGTAGCAGAAGGAGGGGCCTCCAGCTGTCTGTGGGGCCTCTGCAGGCTGCTGGGAAACAACAACGCCTGGAAGAGAAGGGGGTGGATGTGATCTGGGGGCTTGGTGACCACAGGCCTGGCCTGGGAGGCGGGCAGGGCTCTGATCAACTGTATCAGGAGACAGGAAGCTGCTACCAATCATTATGCAGGCTGCCCACTGGTCCCCCATGAAGGTCACAGTTCATCATACAAGCTGCACAACCGCGCACAGAAGCCCTGCTGAGGCCAATGCAAGTCTACCCAGTAGTGACCGGAGGGCCACAAGAGTGGGGGACAGGCCAGGTTTATCAGAGGTTGTCACAAGGTATTAACCTCAGGGCTGACTCAGCAGAAGTGAGCACCAGGACAGTATCAGAGGGGAGGGATGGGCCAGGGCGGGTGCTATGGTCTCACAGTGAAGAGAACAGCTTCTGATCTACTCCTGGCTGTGGGACTTCGAGCAAGTCCCTTTGGCCCTGTGGGTGAGGGATAAAAATACCCAACCACGGGGCCATGAGGATGAAAGGAGCTGATGCACGTGCAAAGGGTCCAACGTGCATGAGTGCCACTAGATCACCTTTGACATCACCGTGGGTGCCGTAAAGCAGGGCTCACTGAGCAGGTGCACTTCCCCAAGCTTGGGAGTTTCCAGCTGGGGACTGGAGGCCCTGGCCCACTTCCCCATCCATAGAAGACCCTAACCCCCCTTCAGACTCAGCCAAGGAACTGATCTGACTGTGGCCCTTGCTGGTTGATGCCTTCAGCCCAATGGCCTAGGTAGCCCCAGAAGGCCCCTCTCCTTCCCAGGTACTGGAAGGGTGGGTGGCCCTGGCCTCCTCCAACCTGGCACCCCAGGCTGCTGCTCCAAGATCCTGCCCCCCCCCATGTTTGTTTTGGCCTGTGGCTGCCACTGCTACAGGGTTGGGGCACCGTGGGGACAGGGAAGGTGTGGGTGGAAGGTAGGAAAGGGGGTGGGCAGAGACAGGAAGCTGAGGCACAGTAGGGGACCTGCCCAGGCTCCAGGAGAAAAGTGGGTGGAGATCTGGAAACCTAAGCAAATTCCACATACATGAGCACTAAGGCCTGCTGTGGTTATGCAAATGATATGCAGAGTCCATGCAAATCAGCACTCTGGGCAGGGTCGGGCAGAGGCAGTGAGCAATGGGAGGGGGCTCACCTGCCCTCACCCTTCATCCTTCATCTCATCCTTCATCGGCTTGACGATCTGCAGCTCGTCCGGCTGGCAAGAGGGAAGCCCCCAGGGGAGCCCTCACCCTTCTGAAGCATCTTCTGCCTCAGCTGCCGCCTGTAATGGGCGTCCTGCCAGTTGGCCAGCTGCTGGAGGACATACTTCATGTCTAGGTGTGACGGGCCCAGGCCGCTGGCCTCCAGGGCCGAGGTCACCACATTCATCCGTGTGGCCTCATCTAGCTCCGGCTCTACCTCCTCCCAGGCCTCGGTCTCATCAGACACCAGCTCTGCCTCCTCCGTCACCCCATCAGCAGATGCCACCTCTTCTGTGGCGCCCAGCTCCTCCACAGGCAGGAAATCTTCCCCCGATACAATGTCCTCTGCTGGCATCAACCCATCCTCAGCCTCGAAGCCCTGTTCCCGCTCTCGCTTCTCACTGTAGCGAAGGTCGTATCTGGGCAGGGAGACAGTGATGTCTTTCCACACCCCTGCAAGCCAACTCCAACCACCTTCTTCCTCTCCTCCCAGGATGTCTCCTACCAGTGGGGGGCAGGGGACAGCATCCCACTACCAGGCTCCCCCACCCTATCCCCTCTGTGAGCTCCCCTGCCCCCTGCCCCAGTCTGCACACAGACCCTCCCCAGTTCTGTCCTAGCCTAGGGAGAGGGGAGCTGAGCACCAGCTTCGAGGCTTCAAACCCCAGCTCATTTCTCTGATGGGAGGGAGGAAGAACAGGCACCCACACTGCGTAGGCTCCACCTTCCCCTACACCCCCAACCCTGCTGCAAGGGATTATACCCTGAGCGCCACTACCTCAGCTTTGATGTCACTCTGGGCGCCTTAAAGCAGGCTCACTGAGCAGGTGCACTTCCCCAAGCTGCCCCTCCTTCATAACCCACCCCTTAGCTAGCTACCATAAGAACAAGCCCATTTTATTAAGGCTCGGACAGGTCAAGTGACTTGCCCGAAGACACACAGCTACTAAGGGACCGGTTGGGGCTCAGCTCCTAGGCCAGTGCTCATTTGCCTGTCAGCCCCTGCTCAAGGGAAGGGAAGTCTGCATTTGGAGCAGGCTTAACTCAGACAGCCACCTAGTGGGCACAACTTTAAGGGGAAGGGAGCAGCGCCCCAGAACACTCTCAGCCCAGCCAAGCCAGAGGGCAGAGTCAGCTGCAGGGGGCTGTGGTGCTGCTGAAAGGGGAAGGAAGGCAGCGGGGCAGCCCCTGGCCAGCTCACCTCAGGTTGGATGGCCCCCTTCTGGGCATTTCATAGTGTCTGCAACAGAGAAAAAGACCTTCAGTGAACTGAGGCCATGGAAGCTGAAACTGCAAAGTCCTGGGGCCCAGTTAAAAGTCCCAGAGAGAAACGGCAGATCCAAGACCATGTTAATAGAGAATAAGGGGCTGGGGCCGGGCCAGGGCTGGCACTGGGGTGGGAAGCAGGAGGACCAGGTGTCTGGGGAAGCATGGAGGTCAGAGTGTAAGGGCAAGCCCTCTCCCCAGCATGGGCAAGGCTGCTGCCTACTGGGGGATATGGGTGAGTGTGGGTCAGGCCTGCGGGTCCCTACAACACACCTTTCCATAAAGTACACAGGGTCTGAGATAATCCTCCTCAGAGACATTCTGAGCTCCTGGGCCAGGGTCTCCTGCAGACTCGGACGTGCCTCCTACAGTAGAGAGTAGGGACGTTACCAGGACGTCCTCCCCCCCACCCCCCCATACTTCCAGCACAGAGCGGTCCTGAGGATAGAAATCAGCCAGCAGGGTTGAGACAACAGCCTCACTGGTCATAAGGCGGCAGTCAGGAGCAGTTCCCACCAAAGGCATGCCATATGTCACAGACCCGCTCCTGCCCACATAATCCGTGTACCTCTCCCATAAGCTCTGCATCTGGGAACCCACCAGCAGGCTCTATGGGGTCCAGGTGCACCCAGCCCAGCACTCTTGCCCACCTTCTCCCAGGCTAGCCCAGCACTAGACCCAAAGAGTGACATGCAGTGAGCCCGAGCAAGTCCCTAAACCTGGGCTCAAACCCCAGTTGAACCACCACCTGCTGGACCCTGTGCCACACACGGAGCAGGAGCAAAGGGCAACGGCCAGTCCCTGTCTGCTTTTTCTCTTGGGAAAACTGGGCAGTGCCCAGGGTCTGACGCCCGCTCCAGGCCAGGGGCACCTCACCTCTTCCTGGAACTGCATCTGGATCTCCTTCTCTGAAGCCAGCTGCTGCTGCAACTTCTCAGTCTCAGCCCCATACTGGAAGGACCCAAAACTAGTGAACCCCCACTGCAGCCACCCCACTCACAAGCACTCCCAGCTCCCACTGGTCTTCCCAGGCACATTGGTCAGCCTCTGGCAGCCGTGAGGTGAGAATCACATGGGATAGGTGCAGGGGAGTCACACAGCCTGGTTCCTGGAAGACTCCAGGACTGTCTCTGGGTCTTGGTCCCCTTCTTGGGACAGTGAGAGAGTGTGAAGAGGGGTTCTGTGAGGTCTCTTTCTACTCTGGCTCAGACCCAGAGAGGGGTCTCAGGCCTGGCAAAGCTGAAAATCCCTTGAGGTAAGAGCAAGGAGAATGGCTTAGGTCGTGGGGGCCCCCGACAGTTGAGTCCCACGAGGGCGAGGGCACGACTCACCGACTGGCAGCGCTTCTGCAGCTTTGCGACCTGTGCCTGCAGTCGCGTAATCTCCTTCTGCTGCCGCTCATAGTGCTCCAGCCTAAACACCAGCACCTCGGACAGCTCGGCCATCTGCTGGCTGGCTTCCGCTGGGGGTGGGGGCAAAGGTCAGCCCTGGCCTCCCTGGCCAGTCTGGCCCTCCCAGATGGCTATCTACTCACCCCCCCCCAATTCCACAGAGCATGCCATTCCCTCCATCTCCTTTTCTTTCTTTCTTTTTTTGGAGAGGTTTTTGCTATAGGGCGCGTGCGCTCACCAGAAAGACAGAGACGGAGAGACAGAAAGCAAGAAATCACCCCCCAGGGGGGATGGCCACGCTATAATCCCTTCTCCTCCATTCTCCTTTCTGGATCTTGGGCATGTACACACACACACCCAGCATGAGTTTAAGCCACCGGGTTCGGGACTCAAACCAACCACAGTCAACCACATGGGAGTCCAGTGACATAGCTGGTCTCCCCCTCCAGCGCTCCACCAGACCTGGCCCCAGCCCATGCAGAGCTCAAGTCTAGTGGGAAGACAGCTGGGGAATAAAAGGGCCCAGCAGCAGTGCCCACACGGGAAAGGCCCTGGGTTCATATCCAAGCACGCCACGTGCACCTGCACACCTGTGATCCAGGCTGGCTAAGACGAGGGATGGATTGCAGGGTGGGGACCCTGTGGGAATGTCCGTCTATTTGTTTCTCTCTCATGAAAAAAATAAATAAACTTTTTTTTCCAAAAAAGAGAAACCAAATAATGCATAATATGGCCAATGAGCAGCATCAAGGGATAGGGGTCATTGCTGTGACACCCAACCCAGCTTTGCAAGATCTAGGAAAGATTCTAAAAGAAGGAACCACTAAGCCAAGACCACCAGGCAGGTAAGGTTTGGCCAGGTCAAGAAGGAAAAACCCCTGTCCAAGCAGAGTGTAGACAGGCCCCAGGGCAACCCAAGAAACTGGAGAGGGTGAGGAGGTGGCCTGGGCAGTGGACAGGGCCCAGATCACAAAGGCCAGGTATGGGCCTGGGGCCTTATTCTCTGGCCAGTGGGGAGCTATTTGGGGATTTTAGGTAGAGGAGTGACATGGTCAGATTTGGTCTCAGAAAACTCATGTGGGCTGTGTGCAGAGGGGCTGGAAGAACAGAAAAGGTAGGGAGGCCAGAGGAGGGATGTCCTAGGCTAGCATCAGCTGGAGTCGAGGGAGGAAGAGGCATTCCTAAGAGGTAGAAGTAAGAGAGCTTGGGGAACAGTGGAGCCATTCAGGGAGCTACAGAACCAGCAGGAAGGAAGGGCAGGTTTGGGGTGAGGACTAGGTTCAGCTGTTGCCACTGAGTCTGCCTCAGCAGCTAGACTTGAGCTCGTCAGGGACAGAGGCTGGGCCTCACTCCTCTTCATCAGCGCTCAGTGTCTAGGATGGTGCTGGGCACAGCTGCTGCCCAGTACACACTCTGAATGGCCCTGCTCTGGGTGCCTGGTTTCTGATAACTCATGGCTCCCTCTCTCCTCCCACCCCAAGTAACAGAGACAGGCTTAGAGGAGACACGTGGCTTCTGTACAGCCCTTTACAGCTGCACAAAGCACTACCTCAGTTGTTGCCTCTCTTGATCTTCAAAAACCCTGGAGAGATACACAGGGTTGAGATTTTGGGGGAGGGGAGTTTTTTTGTTATAGGGCATGTCTGCTTGCCAGAGATACAGAGAAAGACAGAGATAGAAAGCGAGAGATCACTCCCAGGGGGGTTGGCTACACCGCAATCCCTTCTCCACCATTCTCCTCTTGGGATTTTGGGCACGCATGCACACATGTGCCCATTATGAATCTGAACCCACCAGGTCCGGAACTCGAACTAAGGTCGGCCAAGCGGGAATCCAGACACACACCACTACACCATCTGCTGGTCCCACAGGGCCGACATTATTATTATTATTATTTTGAGAGGTTTTTTTGTTTGTTTGTTTGTTTGGGGTTTTTTTGCTATAGGGCACATGCGCTCGTCAGAAAGACAGAGAGAGACAGAAAGCAAGAAATCACCCCCTGGGGGGGGTGGCCAAACTGCAATCCCTTCTCCTCCACTCTCCTCTCAGGATGTTGGGCACGCACATATATGCGCCCACCATGAGTTTAAGCCGTCAGGTCCAGGACTCCAACCACGGTCGATTACATGGAAGTCCAGCAATGTAGCCATTAGACCATCTGCTGGTCCAAGTGCTGACATTATTCATCCTCATTCTAAAAATGAAGGTTCAGCGAGATCAAGGAATTATCCAAGCACACACAGCTGGGAAGTGCCAGCGTTGGGATTTGTACTCAGGTCTCCCATCTTCTTCCCTCCAATCGTTAGGATAGCCCCCCACCCCAAGTTACGGCATCACGTACAAAACTGCTCCACACATTCCAGAATGAGCATCTGCTCTTCATCCTCAAGGGTGTCAAGCTGGGAGGCCTGGAGGGAGGGAGAGAGGAAGGGGCAGAGGAATCAACAGCCTTGCCCACAGGCGTGCCCTCCTCCCCCATAGGCGTGCCCTCCTCCCCTAGCCTCACCTCCTCTCTCAATTGGTCGTTCTCCTCCTCCAGCAGCTTGAGCTTCTGCTGTAAGGCTTCCATCTGTGGACAGTGGTGCAGCAAGTCCTCCCGAGGAGTCCTGGGGAGGAGCCATGAGAGCCAGGCTACAGGCACTGGGCTCCCAGTCCCAAGTCAAGGGTAGCAGTCTCGATTAGTCCCAGCAACCCATCAGCAGGCACGCTGCCTGTGTCGGATTCCAAATGAGGCTTGGGGAAGGGACCGCCCAGGTGCAAATGCAAGACACTCACGGCTTGGGGGTGTCATAGCGGTGATCATACTGTTGTTGTTCCTGCTCTTCCTCCTCTTCCCCTTCCTCTTCCTCCTCTTCCTCCTCCTCTCCCTTCTCCTCTCCCTCCTCCTCTCCCTCCTCCTCGTCCTCCTCCTCTTCATCATCATCCCCATCTTCAGAGTCGGAGTAGAGCCGAAGGAGGTCATCCCGCAAATTCACCTGGTACCTGAGGTGTAAAATCTGCACAAGAGGAGCCATGAGCTGGGCAAGAGTCAGAGCAAGAGTGGGTCCTGCCATGAGAAAGATGGGCAGTGACCCCCGCCCCTCTGCCCCATCCAGATACCTCCTCCCTGGCTGAGCCCAGCATGGCTTCCAGTTTGCTGTTCTCCTCCATCAAAACACTGTTCTGTTTCACCAGGGACTGGCCAATGCGAGCAGCCGTGTTCAGGTCGCGCTCTCTCTGTGAAGAGACCATCAACCATGTGGAATGCTTTCCTGGTTTCTGAGATCTCCCAGAGAGGTGGGAGAAGCACACCAGGCCACTCCGAGAAACCCTTCCCATCACCAGTGCTCCTGGGTACTAGACCCTCTTCCATTAGCTCACCGTAAGACCTGACTCCGTTTCCTTTATGGAAAAGAGTAGATTATATCAGATTGACTCTGAGAGTTCTTCCAACCTGAATATCCACATTCACTTGCCCTCCATAACAGGAAGCCCCAGCTTGGCCCCCAGAGAGGGAGACAAGACCACTACTCCTACCAGACAGAGTTAAAATGGGGGTGAGGAATGTACTGATTTCAGAGAACAGTGGTAAAGCACTTCTCAAAAGAAGCTGGCTCCCGGGACCAGCAGGTGGCATGGTACTTAAGGCCCTGTATCCCCGCATGGCCAACTGTGGTTTGACTCTTGGACTCAGTGGCTTGAAAAATCACACCAGGTATGTGTATGTGCCCAAAATCTTAGGAAGACTGTGGCATGGCCATCCCCTAGGGGAAGAATTTCTCACTTTTCCTCTCACTGTCTGTCTCTCTCTAGCAAACACAAGCACTCTATGGCAAAAATCTAAAAAGAGAGAGAGGCTGGCTCCCACATGGCAACTACAGCTCAAAATCCGGCCCAGTCAGCCCAAAACACACCAGGTAGACATCAAGTGCCCAAGATCCAATAGGCCAGAAGACTAAAGGACGGGGATCACAGAGTGAGCAGCCTCTTTGGAGGGTGCCTCTCTCTCTCTCTCTCTCTCTCTCTCTCTCTCTCTCTCTCTCCCCCTCTCTCTCTCATGCAAACAGTCAGTCTCGAAAAGGAATAAAATGGGAGCCCTGCTAAGGCTTGGGCTGGCCTGGGTAGGGGTGCACTACACACCTCCTCCAGCAAATACAGCATCACTTTGATATCTTCCGGGGTGATCTTCTTGACTGGTGGAGGTAGGTTAGGACACAAAGCTGCAGAAAGAGGTGGGTGGAGGGAAAAGTCACAGGCAGGTCAGGGAACAGGGTATGCTACCCGGCAACCTTCTGTCCCCTGCTCTACCCCAGTTCTGCCTCAACAAGTGTCATCCGAGGAGGAGACAGCTCCCTTCCTGCTGGCCCCATGTTCTCAGCACTCCCTCCCAGCTCTCAGGGCCGAATGAACAGCGTGAGGTCAGGAGACCACAGTCTTCCCAGCTCAGGAACTAGACTCTCAGGATGTCTCGGTCCCAGGCGGGGAAGAACGGAACTACCTGGGGGACGGCGGGGGCGGGGTGGGGGGAGTGCAGCCGCAGACTTGACTCAGCAACCCTTACACAGAGGGCAGCCAGGACAGCTTCCTGGAGTCTCAAGGGTCATAAAAACAGACGCAGTCACCACCCCCCTGCACCTGTTGCATGTGGAGAGGAGACGGGAGACTTCCAGCACCGTTGTAGGGGAGCCTCTAGACCCAATCTAGGGGTCGCCCCCTATCCAGAAGAAGACGGGAGGGAAGAGAGGAGGTAGACGCCTGAAGCCCGCCCACTTCTAGGCTTGGGGTGCGGGGTAAGCGCAGCCTTAACTACAGCAGCCAAGACGGGAGAAACCTTCCCTTTCTTCCGGGAGGGCCCGCTGGCCAGCGCAGGCTCAGAGCGCGGGGGCTGCGCCCTCCCGCAGCCCCCGCCCCTCTCCTGGCACTGCGGTAGACCGAGGAGGGGGCACGGAGAGTGCGCAGTTCTGCCGCAGCAACAGGCGCGCAGAGCCGGGCGGGGAGCGCACGGTCCCCGGGACCTGACGCACCCACAGAATTCAGGGAACCAGAAAGAGGAGCCGGAGCTGGGGAATGGGTGCCAGACAAGCACTGCAGACAGTGACATGGCGGGGGTTGTGGAGGGGTAGGACTGACAGCCAAAGGGGGCGGGGTCCCTGGACCGACGACGGGGCCCCTTCCCCATGGAGCTGCCCTGCTCCAACCCTCTCCAGGACCCCGGGGACCCGGTTACCTTCCTCCAGCTCCCGAATAAAGGCGGCGCGCTCAGGGCCAGACACCCCGGGTCGCCGGCCAATGTAAGCGGCTGGCGTCTTCCAGATGCCCGCCGCCTTTCCAGTCCCCAGGCCAGTGGCGCGAGGACCAAAGGGACCTTGGAATACAAAGCGGGTCCACGGTGCGTCCGAGTTGTCAGGCTCGGACTGGGCATTCCCCTGGGAGGCTGAGAATGCGGACACGCGCTGGGCTCCCGCCTTCGACCCAGCCTCGGAGGCCAGGCGAGCTCCGGTGGGGACTTCCGAGACCGACTGGGACCCGGAGGCTACTCTGGATCCTGCTCCCTGTCCAGTCCCTGGTGCCCGCACAGGAGCGGGTTCGGCCGAGGGCTCTGAAGCAGAGCTGGCTGCGGGCGCGGGTGCGCGGTTGGCTGCTGCTGGGTCCCCGGGTCCAGACCCCGGCCGGAGTCCCGTGTATACCTGTCCCAGATCTTTCGGGCGCATCTTGAGTCTGCTGTCCGCAGTCGTAGCCGGCCCCTTATAAACTGCTTGGAGCTGGCGCCCCGCCGGACCGCACCACGCATGGGGACGGGGGCGGCTGACGAGCAACTAGTGGTTCCTGGGACTGAGGGACGCACAGGCGGGAAGCTAGCGGGGATACGCCAGAGGGTAAAAATCAGAGAACAAAAAGAGGGGTCGAGTGCAGGTGGCAGCTGGTTTCGTGGACTGGGGTGTGAAGCGAAGGCTTTCGTCTTCCCTCTCTTATCTCCCGAGGATGGTTCGTCCCAAAGCCGCTGCTTCCCAGGAACGTGCCAACAGCGACTAGCGGGTCCCTAACTCCGGACACCCCCTCACCTCCGCGCCCAGCGAGGGGGTTCGGCTGCCTTCGTTCGTGTGGCCCCTGCAAGCCCAATGTTGTAAATGCGGTTTGGGGTGCCCGGTGAGTCAGGGCGATGTTGCGTCTTTCCCGCTTGACTGCGAGATACGTCTGAACTCCAGGACCGCCTTCCCTCCGCTCCCGATCCAGGCACCCCGCGTCCAGGCGCTCACGCTCGACCCCCCAGCGGCATCTTCCATTTTATTGTGTGTCTTCGTTCTCACCTCCAACCTAAGTTGTTTTGCCCACCCCTTGCCATCCTCTGACCCCCTTCCCCCTGGCCCCAGAGTGTCACTTATCCTGTGGCCCTGTTGTGTGATCAGTGTTTCTTTCAGTCTTCAAGACCAAACCTGAGGGGTCAGTAGATGGCGTAGGGGTTACATTGCAGGACTCCCACATGGTTGGACCTCAGTTTGAGTTCCAGACAGGTGGCTTGAAACTCAAGCCCGGCACATGTGTGTGCAGGCCCCAAATCCAGGGAGGAGAACGGAGGAGAAGGGATTGTGTCCCCCCATCCCTGCAAGCGCAGGTACCCTAAGGCAAAAACCTCAATCAATCAATCAGACAAACCTGAGTCAGTTCAGTTCAGGGACGTGTCCCTCAGCACAGCACAGAACCAGATTCTTCCAAAGGCTGCCTGAAGTCCTGAACTGACTATGGGGCGGCAGAGAAGGCCAGTGGCTAGCCCGAGCCTTTGGGCTGGAGAACCCTACAGGTCAAGAAGAGATGGCCATTGCAGTGGTTGTTTTCCACCCTTAGGATCATTCTTGGTCCTTCCATTTCCCTCTCCTCAATACCATCAATCACCAAGCCCTGCTAAATTTGCCACGTAGATACTATAATTCTCAAATGTTCTGTCCCTTTTTAGTCCTTCTGCTGTTTTCCAAGTTGAAGTATCGTCGAGTCTTTCCAGATTTTTGTGACAGCCAGACGCAATCCTGTTCCCACCTCCCTCATCTGCCTGGGTGGGTGTATCTCTTGACCATCCTTCTCACTTATACTTTTTTTAAAAAGAATTATTTATTTGGGGACCAGCAGTTAGCATAATGGCTATGTCGCTAGACTCCCATGTAGTCGTCTGCAGTTCGAGTCCTGGACCTGGTGGCTTAAACTCATGCCGGGCACGTGTGCATGTGTGTCCAAGATCCCAAGAGGAGAAAAGATAAGGGATTGAAGCATGGCCATCCCCCCTGGGGGGTACTTTCTCACTTTCTTTCTCTGTGTCTCTCTCTTTCCGGCAAGTGCACGTGCCCTATAGCAAAAACATATATATATATTTATTTGATTTATTATTATTTGTAATTTGCTATCGGGCATGTGCGCTTGCCACAGAGAGACAGAGAGAGGAAAAGTAAGAAAGCAAGCCTCCAGGTTCAGGACCCAAACTATGGTCAGTCGCTGGCCCACTCATACTCCTTCTAAAATAAGGAATCCCAGGTGTCCCCTCTCCACAGCCACCACTCCCAGCCTGAGCCCCAGTCAGGTCTGTCCTGGGATAGAGATGCCTAGTGCCTTTGGGGGCAGGTGTCCGGGACACAGCATGGAATAGGAGACGCAGCCCAGGAAGAGTCAGAGGGCCTCCCTCCACCAGCTTCCCTGTCAGGAAGCATTGTTATCAGAACATTTCCTTCTCTCCATTCATTCATTCGTTCATTCATTCATTCATTCATTCATTTGACAAACATTTACTGAGTGCCTACTGTATCCACCAGGAGCCATGCCAGACACCTGGGGAGAGAAGGGAGCCAGAGAAAGCAGAGCTCTGCTCTTCC